AGACAACAACAACTCCCATGATCCCACACTGCTTCACCACCTTAACACACTTCCTCTTTTGTTCCTGTTTTAATGTGAGAGACCCACTAGCAGCAGAAGTTTAATATATAAACCACCAATGTCTAAAGGCTCCAGAACTGAAAGAATGGGTTAATGCAATGGTTGAAATAACATCTTACTAATGTTTGTTTGGCAGAATAAGAGGCGAAATGGAAGATAAGTATAAATAGATCATGTTTTCCCATCTGGATTTATTAATTTTTTTGTATATATGTTTGTTTTGTATTTATTTTGATGTTTCTGTCATTAACAAACCTCCGTAAAGCTTTCCGGCTCCCAACCTGAAGTCTTTGATTCACACTTTGATTCCCAGACTTTCAGCAGGTGTTGAGGAAGTAAACTGATGTCACCTCCTAAACTTTAACCGAGTAAATGATGACATATCAGCAAGGAATGAACCTGTGTGTGTGTGTGTGTGTGTGTGTGTGTGTGTGTGTGAGAGAGAGAGAGTGTGTGTGTGTGTGTGTGTGTGAGACTCACAGCTCCTCCAGGAAGTGCAGGTTGGACAGAGCTCCTCCGGTCAACACTGTCAGATTATTCATACTTAGATCACTGCAGACACAGAGAGAGAGAGAGAGAGAGAGAGAGAGAGACTGTTAATGTCTCTCTACCACACCAATCACACCTGTGCATACGTACCTCAACAGTTTATATGACATAAATAAAGTTACAAATAAATTAATAAACAGATAGAATATATGTATAATTACACATGAAGGGCTCCGCAGTTAAATTAGCAATAATAAATATGCAACATAGAGTTTCAACATAAAGCTTGGGTGGTTAATACACGCTAAGTTTAGGTACAAAAACAATGTTATGTTTTAGGAAAGGATCGTAAGTTTAAGTTCTGTAAGATGTGTTACATACCTTATGCAACTTAAGTAAGCCCATTAAATTTAATAGTTAGTGGTTGCACTTTGGCTAAGTTTAGGTACAAAAACTACTTGGTTATGTTTTCGGAAAAGACCGTAAATTCTGTTATGTACCTTACGTAATTTACGTAAATTAAGAAATGTAAGTTAACTTTAGTGGTTAATGGTTGCACTTTGGTTTAGGCACAAAAACTACTTGGTTATGTTTTAGGAGAAGATCGTAAGTTCAAGTTGCGTAAGATATGTTACGTACTTTACGCGACTTAATTAATTTAATCAAGTTAAGTTTAATAGTTAACGGTCTGACTTTGGTTAAGTTTAGGCACAAAAAATACATTGTTATGTTTTAGGAAAAGATTGTAAGGTTAAGTTCTGTAAGATACGTGATGTTACAAAAATTAACTTACATACGTAACTTAAAAAGATGTTAACTTCTACTTTTGGTTTCAAACGTTACACAAACAGATCTCCTTGAGGAAAGTCTTGTGTTTGTTTGAACCATCCACCTCAACCTCCTTCATATCCTGGCTCTTTAAACTACGTCTGGCAGGTGTTTTCATAAATGACGCAGATACTGTGTCCACTGAGTAAGCGGTAGTATTTGATGAGTTGGGATTCAGACTGAACACATTTGTTGCACTGGAGCTTTTACAAATGACTGTAAACAGAAACGACATAAAAACAACACCCTAACGCAAACATCAGAAATATAAACACTGAATTAACGGCTCATTAAAGAGACAAAGTTCATAAAGTGGCCACAGAGAGTCTGGTATGTTCAAACACAGACATCATTCAACACATTTCACATATAAAAACATTTAGTCTGACAAAGCATCCACTCAGAAACTCTCACACACACAGAAATTTACGACGCCTTCAAAGAGCCGGTGAAAGGATCGAGTCAACACACACCTGAGTGAGAAACAAGGCAGGAGTGGAAGTTACTGGAAGGAGGCAGAAAGCAAGAAAATAAAAGAATCAATGAATGAATTAACCAGAGTTTCTCAGCCTTTTTCAGTCAGGACCCCTCAAATGTGTGTTTAATCTCAAGCGATTAAAATAAATCTCTTTCTGTCTACAGAATAACCAACCTTAACTTATTATTTGGTATTAAAATTGCACTTGGCCATATTTCAGTAATATTTAAATTTAATTGTGCAGCTCTAAATCTTATTCTACTAAATTTGGTATGATACAGAAATGGCTGTATCTTAAAAAAAACTATAGAAAATAAACTTTGTCTCCCAATTTATTGTGAAAAGATTAAATGATTGGCTCCCAACCATTTTGGTTTATTCATATTAATAATAATATTAATAATAATATTAATAATAATAACACATTTACAACACAGAGCGCTTTTCAAGAAACTCAAAGAACTTCACATGAGTTAAAAAGGAAAAGAANNTTTTCAAGAAACTCAGAGACACTTTACACGAGTTAGAAAGGAAAAGAAAAAGAAAAAGCTAAAAACAACACACTAAGAAATTATAGCTATATCTACAACAGTCAACAGACACAAATAGGTTTGTGACGTCTGTGTAATGTTGTCATTCTAAACTTCTCCCATTGTGTCATTTAAATCAGTGTTTGAGGCTCAAATCATCAAACATTTCACTACACAAAAGGATCAGTTTCAGATTTGTGTCTCAAAACTTCTTCTTTTAGCTAGACATGCTGTTAGCTAGCTAACTAATGAATCTTCGCTCTGTGTTACTAAAAGTTGAAGATTGATGGACTTTTATTGGTTAGTCCATTCATTCAAGTCACATTTGGTTTTATAGGAATGATCTGACACGTTAAATAGGGGAACAATATAAATTGAGGATCTTAAAGGGTTAAAAAGACGTTTTAAAAATAAACTCAAAAGTCAAAACAAGGTGACATCATTATTTGTTGTATGTGTTGTTTATGTGCCGCCATGACGTTCTTCCTCCTTCCCTTTCTTTCCTTATCTGAACCGTCTATTCGCCGCTCTTTGTGCGTCTGATAACCATCGACAGGTAGCGTCTCTCCACTCAGGAGGGCTCGACAGGGTCTGAAAGCAGACAGACTGTCTCTGTCTCACACACCGAGGGTGTGTCTGCAGGTTGAATATACCGCTTGTTAAGGAACTTTCTCAACACGCCATAAAGCCTGTTAATGTTAAGCTTTACAACGCTGTCGACAGGTAGTCTCACACACACAGACAGGTTTATTTTAGCTGAATGTTCCTTTAATCCGAGCAGACTAACAGTGTTATGGCTGATCGGATTTTACTGCTGTAACACACACAGGTTTGTGTTATGTGCTTAAAAGCAGATTTCATTGACGGCATTCATTAGTTACCTCACTCACAATATATATTTATATGTGAGTCAGACAGAGAGTTGTTCATTACCCAGACGGAGGCTCTGTAATGTTCTCTACATGTGGTCAAATATCTACATAACCACCAAAAAAAATCAGTTTTTACACAAACGACGGCGAGTTTTGTTCATTATTTCAAAACAGGATTTAAAGAGAATTAGTTGAAACGCCTTTATTACAGTTAATTCAATTAAACTTTCTACCAAACAGGAGAAATGGTTTTAGATAATTTAATAAGTTTGATGGTTGTCCTGGCAACCGCTAGCCCTGTTAGCTTAAGTTAAATCCCAAGTAGCTTAACATATGCTGTAGCTTGGTGGTCTTGTTAGCCCCTCTATGTTTAACTTCGTTAACTAATGTTGAATCATTGGATAGTTTCACATAGCTTTCTTTGTTCCCAGTTGGATTAATGTTAATGTTTCCCTCTAGTGTTAAGTTAGCTTTGAGTTTTGTCAGCTAATGTTTTGCAGGTGGCTTAGCATTGTTTTGTGCCGGTAGATGATGTTTGGTGATCCTGCTAATGTTATGTTAGCTTTGAATCAGGGTAACTTATATTTAATAGCCGGCAGTGTAGCTGTGTGCCAGTAGGTGATGTTGGATAATTAGCTTTGCCCCTCTGATGTTCGCTACGATCTAATGTTAAACTAGAGGTAGCATATAGCTTTTCCCAGTTAGCAGATGCTCGATCAAAGTTTGCTTTTCCCTCTAATGTAACGTTAGCTTTTAGTCCTGTGAAAAATGTCCGTCACAGTTTCCCCGAGCCAAAGGTGATGACTTTAAGACTTAATTAAAATACAAATGTATTTCTCCTTCCTGTTAGCTGAAGTTTTCAAACTAAATTGTCCAGAAATCCACCTGATAACAAACTGTGACGCAGGTTTATTCTGAAAGGACATTCTGTGTCAGCAGATGGAGAGCGATGGTTGACAAGAGTGCGTGTTGTATGTTTTGATTTGTTTTGGTCGAGAGATATGGGACGTTTCTGTATTCAGAGACACTGTAATGATGAAGATGAGGATGAGGATGGTGGCAGTTGTGCTTTAACAATGAGGAAACACTCAGCACTGATTATCCTGCTGGCTGAGGCCTGTGATAATATGAGCTCATACTGTACGAACAACACCAGAGCTTTTATTTTGAAACAGCTGGATTTATCTGATATCCAGGTGCTCTGAATGTACTCATCAGTGTCTCTGTGTGTCAGAAATACTCCTTTAAATCACTTGTTCGGTGAGTTGTGAAGATGTTGTGGTCATATTTCATGGGAAATATTTCAGTTTAGGACTGAAGAAGCGTGTTATATATATAATATTACAAACTATATATATAATATATATATAGTAAAATGATTGAGGAAAAAACAGAGGAAAAATTCATAATATTTAAAGATTAAAGTTGTAATATTTTGTGAATAAAGTAAAATTAAAGTAGAATTTTGAGTTTTAAGTTATATTCTGAAAATACAGTTATAATACTACAAAGAAGAATCATAATTTAAAGTGAAATGATTAGAGTGAATAGGGTAAACAAAGATTATAGGTGGAAAAAGTCAAAATATTTAAAGATTAAAGTCGTAATATTTTGTGAATAAATAAAAAAAAGTAATATTTTGAGTTTAAAGTAAAAAAGTAAAAACAGTTTTAATTTTGTGAATTAAGTAAAAACTCCAGGGAAAAAAGTCAGAATAATTATTAACATTCAAGGATTCAAGGTTATTTACAACGAAATCGAATGAAATTCAGATATTGACGCCAAAAGAAATAATATTTTGAGGTGTATATTATTTAATATAAAACACACATATATAATAAAATATATATAAAAAATAGAAACATTTTGAATTTCTCATTTCTTTTTTTATATATATTGTTATTTAATGCACATATTTTAATGTTCTTGTTATTATTTCTATTCTTAATTCTGATTCCTGAATATCACTAGACAAATGTTTAATTTGACAAAGCTTTTAACACAATTTTAAGTAATTCCACCTATTTATTTATTTATGTTGAATATATTATTATTAAGATTTTGCAGAACAACAACCTTCCCCTAACCTGTAACATCAGGGGAAAAATAAAATCAATGCCTCATATAATGACACACAGACCCTCTAACAAACTAACTATGAGCCATAACAAATAATTAGTTAATTATTGGACCTTTTTCCAGCATCAGACTGATCCTGAGTCAGTTATTTCTGCATCCTGTGCGTCACAAACTTATCATACAAGTTCAGATCTTTGCACTGATTTAGTTCCTCGTGGAGAAGAAGAGGACCGTAGGAAGAACAAGAAGAATGAAAGACAAGATGAATACATTAGC